ATTTTCATTTATAAGCTTTGTATTTCATGACATTCTTTGATAGTTTTTTTCTTTAAAGCATTTTATTTTTCAGTAATCTCTACACCCAGTGTGGGACTCAAACTTACATCCCTGAGATCAAGAGTCACATGCTCTAGTGACTGAGCCAGCCAGGCATCCCAGCTTTCATAGTTTTTTGATTGACAACAATAAATACCCCCATTTTGAAAAACAAAAAAGCATACACAGATAAGAAGGTATTGAGTAGCTAAATGGAGATGTTCAACTTGAATGGCAGATCTATATAGATGTGAATACATGCACACACACACTTTCATCTCTCCTCTATCCATATGCAGTATGAATATCTCCAAATGCAAGTGGATATCTATTCAGTACAGATAATGCTTCTTATAATATTGGATTCACAAAGTGCTCGAAAATTCTTGCCCAACAATGCAATCTTTAGTATCATTATTCTATAATTGTAGTTACTTTCATTTAAAAAGCTTTTATCAATTTAAAAAGAACTCCCACACAATTAGAATTTAGCTATTTACACTGTTAAAAAGCCAAAGGCCTCAGAAGTTATTAGTGAGGCAATGACAGCTAGGAAAACCATGATTTAAGTTTCTATATAGCTTTCAACCACCAGGGGTTAATAGTAGTAGCTTTAATTATAAGACCTCTGACTCCCTTAAAGCAAACAGTACTTGGCAGGCACTGTATTTAGCATTCACCCTTGCATGTGCTCTGGAGGGGGAAGCCTAGCTAAAGCAAATGTATTGTCTTTCTGCTGACAGGTTTGACTCCTACAGAAGCCTTTATTTAAACAACTAACAACAGAAAAGCAATACATATAATGGCTTAATTGTTTCTCCTTCAGGGAATCTGTAACTGAGACAAGTGCATACATTTCTAGTGTATAGGATATGGCTTTTCGTGATGGCATCTCTTTCTTGGCTTGCAAACTCTGTCAGAGCAGTGACCATTTCCTTTTTGCATCCCACAAATGTGTATATCTACTTCGGACACCCCAGAAAGTTCAAAGAAAAGGTTCTGATATAACAATACCCATGGATTCTACTTACACAGAATTTTTCTTACTGTGATGATGGTATGGTGTGGAACTAGACGCATTCTTGATGACTCTTTGCAGCACGTTTTCAGTATCCACAACCCCCCCTCCACCCCCCGCCCCTTGCATCACAATCACCTCATCAGTAAAAGGCATAGATAAAAGCACTGGAAGGGATTGTCAAATCTCTCAGGCTTTTGAGGAAATAAAATATTGTTTTTAGTGCAAACTTTGAAATCTATCAGCCTTAAATAAGTGTCTGTTATAACAGAGGATTATTTGAAAAGTGGATGGTATGTGCTGAGGAAGGACTATTATGATGGGGAGACAGACAACAGCAATGTGGGGCATTGGAATGTCTGCTTCGAAGTGTAGAGGAAGAATGCGTGTGGTCACTTACGAGCTGTGTGACTGCTTACATATCACTGAACCTCACTAAGCCAGTTGTAAAGTTGGAGTTCAGATCCCCATCTGTGTGACATCAAGGTCCCTCTTTCTACTACATCATGGTTGCTCTTAAGCAACACTTACTGAATTTGTTAAAGAGAACATAAACGTGGAGTGGGGTAGGGGGAGATTTTAAGACCGTATAATTGCTCCCATACTGGGCTACTTGTCACTTTTGTAATTAAACTTTAATTGGGATTGGTCAACTTGAGAAATCCTATTAAGATGGAAGTGTTGACAAATTCCTCACTGTTGATGAGTCTTTGTCTATATTTACTCCTTCATTTTATTTCTGTACTTATTGTTTTCTGTTGGAGAAGCACCTTGGTGAGATCCTCTGACGATGCCCTGATGTGTGGAAATTTTCATCCAACAAAATTTTAACTACTATGTTCCTTTAATGTTTTAAGAAGGCCTGTTAATTTTTTCTCTCTTCTTTCTAGTTCAGGAATACTGAGAAAATTAAATGGAATTTAAAATGCCTGGAAATGTGACCAGTAATGATACTGACGATAATAATGATGATGATGATCTTGTTTTTTAATTTTACAAACCCTTGTGTTGAGGGTAATGATGTTTGTTATTAACTAGCAATTTGTGCACATTTATTTCTTAGAGTTATGATTTGTAAGTGACCATCTTTCCCAAGCTGACTTTCCTTAAAATCACTGCAAACATTAACTAAATTAAAGGATGGAACACATTGTCTTTGACCCAGCTTTAACTTAAAGAACATCTAAGTTTAAAAGATGATTCATAAATTATTCCTGCCTAGTCTCTAAAGGAGAGGCTCACTGTTCTCAAAAAGGAGATTGAGGCTCAAGGGAAAAGAAAACTGAGTAAGGAAAATGAAAATCCCTTTTTTTGAAAAACAACAATGTGTAACTAAATTGTGGCTCACTCTTTAAACTAAGGGCTGCCCACAGGAATTGTTTTTGCCATTTGATTTAGCTAATTTTGATTTTACAAGCATGCAGAAACACAGTAGAAATTATGAGGCCAGTCCATTGATTGATGCAGTGAATACAAGGCATCTAGATAGAAGAAAAGGAAAGATTTGCATTTTTTTCTTTTCATACCTTATTTTAGTTAACCAGGAATAATTTCACTTTTTCACACTTATTTTGTATTTTAACCTCACCTGTCTAAATATAAAACATATTATCATCTGACTCTCTTCTTTCACATTGTTTTCCCCTCTCCTTTTAAGGTATGAGTCTTTAACAGCACACATTTGATACTTTTCTCTCTTCTGTGGAATTGTAGAAGCTCTCAACCGCCAGTGGAGGAGCTACTGTATTACCTCTAAAGGGAAAAATCTGAACTACAAAATGGTGTGGAAGAAATTCTATCATGCCTATCAAAAAATTAGAATTAAGTAATCCTGGAAAGAGTTGAATGCTATATTCGATGCATTTGGCCTTCCCACACTTCCTGAGTTCCCCAACACCATAAGCTCATAGCCACTGTTAATAGTATTGCCATGTCTATGTTTTCCAGAGCACTAGCAAAACTGCAACACTTGGGTTTGTTCTTTGTTTATCTATGAACCTAGAAAAAATAAAGACAAGTGTGAAAATGGTATGTATCATATGGAGGTATCATATGATTAATCACCTGTGTGATTAATTAATTGTTTTTAAAATTTGTCAAACAAAATATTGGGAAGCAAATTCACATATTATATATAATACTTTTACCCTAAGAGTGGCTCATACAAATTGATATTAAAAGGGGTGCCTGGGTGGCTTAGTCGGTTAAGCGCCTGACTGTAGCTCAGGTCACAATTTCGAGGTCCATGACTTTGAGTCCCGCAATGGGCTCTGTGCTCACAGCTCAGAGCCTGGAGCCTGCTTCAGATTCTGTGTCTCCTTCTCTCTGCCCCTCCCCTGCTCATGCCTCTGTCTCTCTCTCTCTCCCCCTCAAAAGTAAATAAACATTAAAAAATTATAAACAAATTGATATTAAAAGTACTATAAAGCACAATAATTAAGCAAAAGATGTAATCAATGTACAAATTGTATGAGTATAGTTTAAAAACCCATGTAAAAATGATTAGCTTCATTATAATGAAAGTAAGCATTACCAACAGGCTAGCATATTACACTTTTATTAGTTAAGATTTTTTTTAGATGATACCAAACTGTTCAGGAGACATATGCTAGGATGAGAGTGAATTGGTATTACTCTTGGAAAAGTATTTTGGTAACAGTGAGACTTTAAAGTGTTCATAACCTCTTGCTCAGTAATACCAACCCTAGAGTTTTTTTCCAAGAAAATAACCTTCAATATAGAAAAAGCTATAGAGATGTTCAACTTTCTGTCATTTTAAATATAATACAACTGGAAACAACACAGATGTCAAACAATAAAAACACAACGAAGGAAACTATTTATTAACCCAGTGAATGTCATATTCTACAGTCTTCTAAAATGATTAGGCAGAGTTATCATAAAAAGGGAAATTGTTCTGTTCTTTCAAAAAAATTTTTTAATGTTTTATATATTTCTGAGAGAGAGACAGCATGAGCAGGGGAGGGCCAGAGAGAGAGGGAGACACAGAATCCAAAACAGGCTCCAGGCTCTGAGCTAGCTGTCAGCACAGACCCTGATGTGGGGCTTTAACCCATAAACTGTGAGATCATGACCTGAGCCAAAGTCGGATGCTTAACCAACTGAGCCACGCAGGCACCCCTGTTATGTTCTAATGTTAGCAAACAATCTGGAAATATAATTTTATGTTCATTATTATTTCAGGTAGGAAAAGCAAATCATATAGAATGTATAGAAATAAAAGTAGGAAGGAAATGCAACATAATGTGATTTTTAAGGTGATGGGAGCTATGAAAGTTTTTTTTCTTTTACATGATACTTCATAGTTCTCCCACTTTATATGTGTGTTTTCTTTTACAACAAAAAGGTGTTTATTAAAGAAATAACAAGTATGTAAAATAATAAAAGAGAGATGAACTACCAACATGGAACAGAAACTCGGCTAATCGATGGGGATTCAACCCTTCCAATCCATGCTGCAAGCCATTGAATTTTCACTGGCCTCTGCAGATGGCCAGCTCGGACATTGACAATAGGATTAATGTCTGGGAAAATAACAAAATTCCTAAACTTAAAGGAATTAGAATGTGGTTAGTACTAACCAGCTTTATAAAGAGGAAAAGCATGATCAACAAGTTGCTTTAAAAATAACAGATACTTTAAAGAACATAATTATCAGTGAACACTAATGAACACCAGTGTAAGCTACGACGAGCCCTATATTATAAAACCTCCCATTTTTTAAGAGAAAATAACCAAGCTATAGTCATTAAAATATTTCAAAGCATGTTCTAATTATATTAAAGGTTATCTCACACTATAAAAATAATGTGTAAACTGATTTACTTCCCAAATATTAAGTGTTTTTTGGCTGGGATCATGGAAATTATTCAGGGAATTTTCAGGCATAGGAATAGAACAAAAGAATTAAAATACCACTTACCTGGCATGCTTCTTTTGTCAGAGAAATCCTTATGTAGCCATAAGGCAAATATATGGGTTAAAAATCCTCCCACAACCCTTTTTTTCCCTAAGTAATGTTGCTCTGTTGCTTTAGAAACAGTGTGCCAGTAAAACTGGTCTTTAACAGAGCCTCAGTTTTCTCTCTCTTCTGTGTCTTGAAATCTTTCGTGTGTACTTTGTTCAGTAACAAACAGGAAATGTGGTGATAGAGGCTTCTAGAGTTTTGATCTGAAACTGGTACGCTCTTGAATTTTTGTGTTACGTGACGAGAAGAATCCCACAAGCCTCTGCATTCTGTTATTTGGATTTCTATCAATACCTGAATCTAAATAAAAAATAATAATGAAAGCAAAGTCTGGGAGGGATCTCGCATCTCTGTGGAGAGAATTCAGGGATCTCCTCACAAGCGAGTTCACATGGGAACAAAATAAAACATGTTACACTAGGGAGGAAACAGTGAGAAGCCCAGGTGTGCGCAGCTGTTGGTTGTGTTTTCTTTGCGGCACAATGGAGAAAAAGGGATTGGTGCTTTTTGAACTTTGCTATCTATCAGGTGTCTTCTTTATCTGGTCCCACTGGGAGACTGAGTGCCTGCCTTCTATCCTGACAACCTTCGCTCCACTCAATGGGAGGTAAGTCCCAGGGCCATTTGGCAACAAGCTTCAGCTCTCAATGCACAGCCAGTAACCCAAAGGTCCTCAATGTTGGTTTTCCTAAGTATGTTAAGTGGCACAACTTTAACATGCATATTCCTGAGCCCTACTGAATCAGAATGTTTGGAGCAGACCCCAGGAATCTGCATTTTCACAAGTGCCCCCTGGTCATTTTGAAATACAGGTGTTCTGGACAATGCTCCAAAAACTTATGTATATGTCAATGGTGCGTTTTACTTTTACCTCTACTTAGATAAAGATGATCTTGGCAGGATTATGATTATGGTTTGGCTGTGTTTTGGTGTACATGTATCTGCTGCATGTTGTGTGCCTATGCATGCTTGCTCATGGATTCCACCAGTTTTCTTTAATTATAGAAGAATGACAAACCTGAATCCAGTTTACTACAAAAGAGGATGTATACACATTTTAGGAGCTTAAAGTAAAACTTAAAAATGAGACTTCTGATGCACAGATGCAACAAAATATTAAGTGGCATGCAGGATATCTTACTCTGGCTGACTTCTCTAAGATCCTTGGGGGGGGGGGCAGGGAGAGTGTTGATCTTATACATCATGAAAACCCCAGCTCTACAGTAATGTCTGACACATAGTTAAGTTTTGATAAATATTCTCATGAGGATTAAATAAATAAAAGAATGTTAATCTTCTTTCTCCTGGCTCCATTATAACAAAATACACTGCTTCTTAATTCTTTGAATGAAGTTGACTAAACACTAACAGATTTTTCCACTTCAATCATTTCCACCTCCCCAATATTTCTTGTGAACCATTGAATCAGAATCTGTAAACTCAAAAAGACCATAGTCTAATCTAAAAAAGCATTTTTCAAAATGTGTTTCATAGAACACCAGGCCTTTAAGAAAATTTGGGGGAAAATGCTCCTTCAACAGGTATATTTAGAAGAACTTTTATTTTCACCTTCATGGATTCACATTAGTATATTAAAAGCTTAGGGGAATCCTACAAAAAGTAAACCTGAGCAACCATTTTAACAGAGTTTTTTTCTAAACCTATTTGGCCAGAGAACTTTTTTGTTCAGCACCATCCATTTGCAAGGTAACAGGTTGTATGAAGCAGGTGTGGATGCCCACAGTCCGAGAGCTCAAGGGAATAGAAGTCTCAGGTTCATGTAGGGATCAGCAGATAACAAGGAATTACAAGGATCCATTCAAGAATTAGGTGAGACACAGGAATGGAGATTTATTCAAAAGAAGAGAGCCTAGCTGTGCAGCAATTTTGAGGAGTTGAGCTTTAGACCTAAAATGGGATAGCTAGTCAGGAGGACAGAAGCCTCAGTCCCAGAAGGGAACTGCATAATTACCTAAGCAGGAACATGGAACCTTGGGCAAGGTGGATGCCCATTTGTATCAGCTGGGGCCTCCAGAGGACATGAGAGAGAGAAGGGATCTCAGGACTGGAGACTTATGTGCAGACACCCCCTGTTAGAGCAAAAACAGTGCAGAGGATGGGGAGAAATGCAAGAAGGATGCCCTGATTGGCCTATAAAGCACAAATCCAGAAACAAGGGTGTTCAGTGATTGGCTTTGGATATGAAGAAGGTCAGCTTTAGTAAGAAGAATTCAGGTGCCAATGCAGGAATTCTAAGGTTTGCTCAGGAGATACACGTCTCAGGATAGCCCAAGAGGGAGATAGACTCAAAGCAAGTGAACCAGTTGTGATAGTACCCAAAGCTGGCTGAGGGCTTGCCTGCCCCGAGTCTGTGAACTTACACATACCAGTCTGCAGAGATCTGGGGAAGTCAAGAGCAGAGGAGACAGGCAGGGACTGGGGAAGGGTACCTCCTACTCCGTCAGGTCAGTAAGGCAGCCTGTGACACATGCTGAGTGATTACTTAAGGGCTTCACAGAGTCAGTGAACATGATGCATGATTGGCATCTCTAGAATAGTAAGACTTAGGCTGAAAAATCCAAACCACTGCCCAATTTCTAATTATTGTAATATTTTTGAACAGCGATCTACTTGGCAATGTTCCCCGTTGTATAGATTTATAAAATCAGGAGATAGAGCAAGATTGTCCAAGGTCACACAGAAAGTCTGTGCCTGTGCATTAGATAGCTTACATGTTTGAAATTTGCCAAGGGGGGAAAAAGATAGCTTTTCATTAAATATAGGGGACATTAGATAGCTCACATGTTTGAAATTTGCCAAGGGGGGAAAAAGATAGCTTTTCATTAAATATAGGGGACTGGGCACATGGAGACATTATCAGAATATAAAAAAGCTTATGTATGGTTTATGTTTGTTATGAAATACATTAGTGAGTACAATCAGATATTTGAATGATGGCTTCATGAGTCATGTTCAAATAATAAATAAACATGAGGCTTCAGTAGTGCTTTCTAATGAGTCGGGTTATCAAAATGAAGTTTAGCAGGTAGCTGGACTAAGCAGATCTGTCCTGACAAGCTTGAAGCTGTTAAAAATGTAGGGAATTTGGGGGGAAGGTATGTAGTTCTGACAGGCATCTGTCAAGAAGTGAGAATTTTAAGGCCAACAAAATTGAGGTTTTGTTGCCAAAAGAAAATGAAAAGTACATGAAAATGGCAGCTGCCACTCAGGGCTTATAGACTCAGAAAAATGGGTCATAAAGGGTAGAAGGAAGCCCAGTTTTCAAATCCCTGCTTTGATGGTCATCTATTATTTTAATCTTCATCACTTAATATATTTATTTATATCTGTATATATACACACACAAATATGTATTATATACACACATATATATGAATCTTTATTTTAAAGTTCAAGGGGTTTCAAACTATTAACAATAGTTACTAACAGGGGATTACCTGGGACTTACGCTTTACACTTTATAAATTTGTCTACTGTTTAAATTATTTACAATAACATGCACTAAATAAAATAGTTGGAATAAAAGATGCCTCCTTATTTTGAAGGCTCTTTCAAACAGAACTTATCTCTCTGTGTGACTTTTCTGTATTCTGGTAAGTGATTCTTGGGGTGCCTGGGTGGCTCAGTTGATTAAGCATCCGACTTCAGCTCAGGTCATGATCTCCCGGTTAGTGGGTTCAAGACCCGTGTCGGGCTCTGTGCTGACAGCCAGCTCAGAGCCTGGAGCCTATTTCAGATTCTGTATCTCCCTCTCTCTCTGACCCTACCCTGCTCATGCTGTCTGTCTGTCTGTCTGTCTCTCTCTCTCTCTCAGAGATAAATAAAACATTAAAAAAAATTTTTTTAAATGATTCTTTAGCAAGACTGAAGCTGATACACAAAGGACTTTATGAAAGGAGTGGAGGGACCCTTGTCCTTCCATTTATGCTGTTGTAAATTATGAAATTATTCAAAATTAATTATGGTGTTACAATTGCATCTGATTAGACTATACTGATGATTCATATTTTCATTGAGCTTACACCATAAGACCCTCCAGAAAACATAATTATTCCAGTGGAAAGATAAAACAAGTTAAAAACAATAGAACATTGCATGGATTTGGTGTAAGATTCTCAGCTCTTTTTATTATACTTATTAAAACCCCAGATAGAACCAGAATTCTTGGAAAATCAAATACTAAAATAAAAGAGTAGATAAAACTCAGAACAACCAGTAAGGGCTAATAGGAGATACAGTCCATTCCTACATGTGAAAGTCTTAAGTATTCAAATTTTCTAGAACAAAACAATTTGCCCCATTACAAAAACTTCTATGTAATACCCTGGAGAGAGTGCTATTAGTAAAGTCAGAGTATTCTGAAAAATTTTGTTTTTATTTGAAACACAACTGGCTCAAAGTAAATCCAGTTTATGAATGTAAGCTATAAGAAGTTACCATAGAACTTCTTACAGCTTTAGTGACCTAATATACAATTTGTCTTCTCGAGAGGAGGATATATTCAGTATTTCCAAAAATTATTTCATGAGAGAAACATCCTCTTATTTTATTATCTTGTCAAAGCCCTTTGCAAGACTATTGCTCTGAGGTATGTATTTTAGGAGACACTGGATTAAGCAATGTTTTTTTTCCTGTTTCACTGGCTCTTTTGACCTCCTTCCACATTCAGAGCCTGGCTTACTTGAGGGACACTACAGATAATGTCAACTTTACCATCTATATATGAATTTCCATCTCTAGAAATGTTTTGCCTGAGACTATAAAGAGCTGAGCCCTTAAAATTCAGATGTCCCAGGACTGGTAACAAAATTAGCATCCTCAGAATAGCCTTCCCAGTAGGCCTAATTCTAGTGGATCTTCCACCAAATAAGACATATGGTAGCCTAAATTTTGATCAAAGAAAGAGATTTGAGATGAGGACATTTCTAGAAGGTAAGCTCTAGCTGGAGGACCCTAAGAACTAGAAACATATAATGGGAGCAAGAACACCAAGAAGTGTTGCATCGATTGGCATCCTGGCTGGAAACAGATGCAACCATCAAAAGGGCTCACTGAATGAGTTTAATGAAGGGACTGTTTGCAGAGGTGCAGCCTGGCCTAATGAGAAGAACAAAGGAAGGTGGAACACGTCCAAGTTAACAACAGAGGAAGCCATG